TTTTTTGTGCAGCGGTTTTTAGGTATTGCGACTGTAGCGCATTAGCCTTTCCTGTTTAAGGGGTTGTGTGTAACTAACTGTAAAGTTAGATTGGTTTATGTGGATTTCAAAATTGATCCTCATATTAGGGATTACTTGATAGTTATGTTGCTTCGAATTAATTACATTTTCTTAAAAATGAGTTCATTTTGCAGTCTGCAAGTTTAGAGGAAATCATTGCACATCATTCAACACTTTTTGACGAAATCTTTGAAAAGTGCTTCTTGGCGGATTCTGAATTTGTAGCTAATTTATCCGACATTATAGAAACAATTACAGGCTACTCAACAGATGTTTATGTGAGTTTGAGTTCTTGGATTTGTAAATTTTTTTGATAGATATAGTGGATTATGCAAAGTTAACGTTTGGTTAGTTACTACTTAAGGGAGTTATTGTGTTCAGACATTTGATCGGACAGCTTCTCGGTGGAAAAGCTTGCGCGAAAGACTGTATGGTATCTTAAGTAAACGTGCGAATAGTAATACGTATTCACAGTTGCATATGAGGTAATACATGTTTTTATCTTATTGATTTTGATTTTTCAAAGGTTCGCAGGATCAGTCTGGAGGCAACAAAAATTGGAGCACTCCAATTATTTATAAGTTAACTCTTCCTTACTTTAAAGCAGGAAATTTAAGTTTATATTTTCAGATTATTGCATGCATAAGTTCCTTTCTTTTTTTCACTTAGGAAGGCTAGATTTGTAAGAAGGTAATGTCTTACATAAATTTTCATGGTGTTTTTTATTTTCTTCGCTTACTGAGGACATTCACATGTTGCTGTAGAAAATTAGTTCTTTTATTGAGACAAAAACCTCTTTCTGAAACAAAGTCTGGTTTTTGAAACAACTTTTTTTCAATTTTCTTAGATGAGCTCTAGATTTTTAAGTTCACGTATAAACTTTTTGACGCGTCAGGTTTGCAGAAGCTTTATCCTGACCTATGGATGTTGGAAATATCCTTCCACAGATATGTAGATGAGTTTCTGATAATTTGTGCCTCTGTTTGAGGGTAGGCTTGATCACTGTTTCAGACTGTCATGTAGCAGAAAGGAAGTTTTTTGGAGTAGCAGAACATTTTTGATTTGCAGTTAGGTGATAAAGTGTTCCAAAATGGTAGCGTCTTTTTCATTCAGCTGATTCTAAGTTTTTTTTCAAAAGATTAACAGTGAGGCTGAATCTGGATAAAGAATAACTTTTTTCTGGAGAGAAAAGCTGAGAGAATTATAGGTGTATGTTGATCTGTTCATATTATTTCAAAAAAAAGTATCTGTATTTTCAGCGGCGCTTATCTGCTTTTACTGGACTTTCTGGATTTTTTTTTTATTTGGTTTTGCTTCAGATTGTTTCCTCGGGTCTGATAACGTCTGCACCACGAGTTTTCTTTTGATGGGTTCTAAGGGTTTATCTTCTTTCGTTTGAATGAGGAGTTATGGGAAGGAGTGATCCTTGAAAAGCAATTGTGATATTTTTTAAATTTTCTGAGTACAATGTGATTTTGAATGATAATCCCTACGTTGTTACGTCTGGACTTGCGTTGGGAGATGTAAGTGGTACTCAAATGATGTGTTGATACTGTTTTCTGAAAAGTCTTGTAAGAGGCAGCAGAAATACGGTTAATATTTACCTCATTGTGTTGTCTTGGTATCTCACGTTTATGCGTGTTCTTTTTTTCCTGTGCTGTAACATAGCTATTGTGAATTATCCGTGTTGGTGCATTTGTTCAAATTTTACTAAAAGATCTCCATTTTCAAAATTGTTTTATTTTCCTTTTAATTTGCAGTTCGATTTTGAAAGGTTAATTAGAGAAGTAACTTATTCGCTAGTGTTCATGGCATATCGACTGCTGTTTTACACTTTTTGGCTCGAGCGTCATCTAGCAAGTGAAGCAATTTTAATGTTCTCGCTTATAGATTGTAATACAGTAGCCTGAGGTTTTTGCAGGTTAAGATATACAGCGTATGTTGCTGTGGGTTAGTTTCGTAAACATTATATGCGGTTTGTGTAGGCCAGGCGGTGCTCCATTTCAAAACGACAAGAGCAACTATCAGTAAATGAGGTTTTCCAGGGTGCTGGTCTGTGAACGACATTAAGTCTGGTGCCACTGTGTTTTCGTCATGGTGCTCTCGCTCGTTCAGGTTGGCTGTTTTCGTTATATAACACGTTAACGGCAGGACAAATGTTGGAAGTAGGTGTCGTACGATGTGAGTAGGGACTATAAGGCTTACCCGGGACGCTTTTATTTTCAAGAGTGACTTGTGGTGCTCTTGTGGCATGATAGGAGCAAGGTAAGGGAAGCTAGTCTTCCTGCACAGCCATTTGAGCAATGTTTCGCTAAAAGTGTGCCTTTGCATTCGTCAGGTTCAGAATATTTTACGCTAGTGGCGCTTTGATACTTCTTTTAGGTGTTGCGGGTGTTCATAATTGTGTAAGGTCGGCTCTAAAGTTAACGCAAATATATTTGTGCCGGTAGGCGTAGGCAACTGTATTTATAAAAATAGTCATGGTTGGGGATTGCAGTACATTCTTTATTAGACGACTTAGCAGTTAGCCGTATGCTAAACAGTATTTCGTGTGAATCACTTTTGAGCTAGATGACAGAGAAAATCGGAAGGAAGGTAACTTTCACAATTGTTTTTGATTTATCATCTAGGTTTGGACTGGTGCATCTTATCAGTTTCCAAGGAAAAGTCCATGCTTCAGAGTGCTTTTGAGCTTTGAGCCTTCTTACAGCTGAGGCTGCATCGATTATCCGGTCGAGCGCTTGAACCAGTGTTAATCCACAAGAAGAACTAATTAGTGCTTGATCGCTGAAATTTCGCCATTATCAAAAATTATGCTTGATGGCAGATTTTTTTTCGTAACAGCGGTTAAGCACTAATTAGTT